GGCCTTACTCAGCGTGTGGTTCTCAATGGAACTGGATGTATATGGAGGGAAGTGTGTAGTGGGGCGCCCCAGGGCTCTGTTCTGGGCCCAGTGCTCTTCAACATCTTCATCAACGATTTGGACGAAGGGATACATGGGGAACTCATCAAATTTGCAGACGACACCAAGCTGGCAGGAATAGCCAACACTCCAGAAGACAGGCTTAAGATACAGAAGATCTGGACAGACTTGAACACTGGGTGCTATCTAAGAAAATGAAATTCAGTGGTGAAAAAAGTAAGGTTCTCCATTTAGGCAAGAAAAACCAAATGCACAAGTACAGCATAGGTGGCACCATGCTCAATAGTAGTAACTGTGAGAGGGACCTCGGAGTCCTAGTAGACAATCACCTAAATATGAGCCAGCAGTGTGCTGCAGCTGCCAAAAAGGCCAACACAGTGCTAGGCTGCATTAACAGAGGGATAGAATCAAGATCACGTGAAGTATTAATGCCACTCTACAATGCCTTGGTAAGGCCACACTTGGAATACTGCATCCAGTTTTGGTCACCACGATGTAAAAAAGATGTTGAGACTCTAGAAAGAGTACAGAGAAGAGCAACAAAGATGATTAGGGGACTGGAGGCTAAAACATATAAGGAACGGTTGCTAGAATTGGGTATGTCTAGTTTAACGAAGAGAAGGACAAGGGGGGACATGATAGCAGTATTCCAATACCTCAGGGGCTGCCATAAAGAAGAGGGTGTCAAGCTATTTTCCAAAGCACCTGAAGGCAGGACAAGAAGCAATAGGTGGAAACTAATCAAGGAGAGAAGCAACCTAGAATTACGGAGAAACTTCCTGACAGTGAGAACAATTAACCAATGGAACAGCCTGCCTCCGGAAGCAGTGAATGCTCCAACACTGGAAGTTTATAAGAAGAGACTGGACAGCCATTTGTCCGAAATGGTATAGGGTTTTCTGCCTGAGCAGGAGGTTGAACTAGATGACCTCCAAGGTCCCTTCCAACTTTACTATTATTATTATTATTATTATTATTATTATTATTGGTCGTAAAATGGAACAAATCACACTTAACAGCCATGGAAAATTTGGACTCAGTTGTCATTGTTAGCCGAGGACCACTTGTATACAATAGGATGGGGCTTTGATGGCAATGATGAACTTGCCAACTTGCTTCTTTTGACCTCTTCCCATGAAGACGGTGCAAATATCTCAATTGCTACATGCCCAGCAAGAGAACATATGTGAGGAGCAGGGCAATGGCTGGCTGGCCTCTCCAGGCACCATGGACCTTATCCTAGAACAGAGATCTTCAAACTTGACAACTTTAAGACTTGTGGACTTCAACTCCCTGAATTCCTCAGCCAGTCATGCTCAATTTTAAGACTTGTGGACTTCAACTCCCAGAATTCCTCAGCCAGTCATGCTCAACTTTAAGATTTGTGGACTTCAACCCCCAGAATTCCTCAGCCAGTCATGCTCAACTTTAAGACTTGTGGACTTCAACTCCCAGAATTCCTCAGCCAGTCATGCTCAACTTTAAGACTTGTGGACTTCAACTCCCAGAATTCCTCAGCCAGTCATGCTCAACTTTAAGACTTCAACTCCCAGAATTCCTCAGCCAGTCATGCTCAACTTTAAGACTTGTGGACTTCAACTCCCAGAATTCCTCAGCCAGTCATGCTCAACTTTAAGACTTGTGGACTTCAACTCCCAGAATTCCTCAGCCAGTCATGCTCAACTTTAAGACTTGTGGACTTCAACTCCCAGAATTCCTCAGCCAGCCCTAGCTGGCTGAGGAATTCTGGAAGTTGAAATCCACAAGTCTTAAAGTTGCCAAGTTTGAAGACCTCTGTCTTAGAAGCAAGGCTAGCTGAGGAGCCGCTGGACACCTTATCCTGCCCCGAGGGGCTGCAGAACTCAGTTAGATGGACCAAGGATCTGTTTCAGGGCCATCTCGACCTTCAGACAAAATGTACCAGAGGGTCATTGAAGAAGAGATTGGACAACCATTTGTCTGAACGGTTCTTGTCTTGTGGAAAAATAAAGCTTTAAAAAATATAAGGACTTTTACGAAATTCCAAGGGTGAAAGAGAGATTTTTATTTTTGCGCAAAAAGTTCAGAAGTGATTTAACAATCAACAAATTTCTGAACAAGGGGGAGAGTCTAAACTAAAGCTTTATAGGTTTCTTTTTCTCAGGAACAAAGGAGACATAGATGGAATCTTACATTGTATATGGAATCTACTTTGTGTAACATTCAAATAGTTTCTCACACGTTAGGTCCATTTCTCATGGGAATACAATGAAGGCAGTTTTTACTTTTAAACAATGTTTCTAAATATGCATTAGGTCATTCACGTATTGTTAATACAGCTTTTGGCTAACACAGCTTTCTTTCAGAGATTATGCAGACACACGATTTTTGCTTTTAGTGATTTTTCATTATTATTATTATAATACTTTATTCTTCTTTATTCTATGTTATTCTATTTCTTTCCCACATTACTTGGATGAGAAGCGAAACGTCTTCAAAGAAAAGCCAGGGAGTCCACTTGCTTTGTGAAAAAGCACCTTTGGGATAGTCTGAAATGGTATAGGGTCTCCTGGTTGAGCCACGGGATGGACTAGAAGACCTCTAAGGTCCCTTCCCACTCCTCTAATTCTATTATTCATGAATGGGAACCAAGCTGAGGACCTCTCAGCCTGATTCCTGCACTCTAGCAAAGCTGTAGGCCGTGTTTCCATGGCAACCTTTGCAGAAAGAGACAGGGAAGCATACTCATACCCCAGGTGAGGAAAGGTTTGGGGGTGGAAGTGGTACAGGATTCCCATTTTAGGGACTGTGGACTCCTCCACCACTGCTTCCCATCTCTCCTGCTCTTGCATAGAGGTAATCCTCAATTTACAACCATTCGTTTAGTGACTGTTCCAAGTTTCAACGGCGCTGAAAAGGGACATGACCGTTTTTCGCCCTTACGACCTTTGCAGCATCCCGGAGGTCACAGGGCCAAAGTTCAGACACTTGGCAGCTGACTCATATTTATGACGGTCGCAGCATCCCCGGGTCATGTGATCACCCTTCCCAGCCTTCGGACGAGCAAAGTCAATGGGGGAAGCCAGCTTCACTTAGCAACTGCAGTGATTCGCTTAACGGCTGTGGCAAGAAAGGTCGTAAAATGGAGCAGTACTCTCTTAGCAATGGCAACAAAAATTTGGGGCTCAATTGCGGTCGTAAATCGAGGACTACCTAGAGTGGGGTGCCTTCACCCCTGGAGAAGAAGCACACGTGTGGGAACGACTTCCAAACGTTTCACTGATGCTTGAGCAGGGGGCTGGACTAGACGACCTCCAAGGTCCCTTCCAGCTCTATTCTATTCTATTGCAGCTGCTTCTGCAGGAAAACACATGCCTTCCAAACAAAATGAGCCCCGGGATGAATAGAAGTCAGGTTTCCTTTAAGCCTGGGTGAACTGAGGTTTTTGTCAAGTTTTATCTCCATTCAAGGGAAGTTTCCAAGTTCAGTGACCCTTGGGAAGTTGTGAACTTTGTGACGTTGACAGCTCTTGCTATCTATCTCCTAGTTGATATGGTTGGTGAATTCTCTCTCCTGAACTCAGTACTGACAGGAAATCCCCCGGGGTTAATCTCGCAGGCCTAAGGAGTAAATAAGAGAGGGGATTTTTGCTGTTGTTACAACTCAAAGTACAGGAGAATAGACTGCCACTGTTTTCAGCTAAATAAACAGAACAGTGCCCTGGGACCTTGGCACATTTTGTACTCTGGACGGAAGCGATATTACTCGTTAGCTTGTTCCTTATTTTGAGGCTGTGGCTTTCGTTCACTCAGTTCACGAGGAGACTTTCCAATTTAGGCCTTTTCCAGAATTTTCCTGATATATCCATGTGCTGTTGGGGGTTGGCTTCGGACCTAGAAGTAAGGAGAAATTTCCTGACAGTGAGGACAATTAATCAGTGGAACCACTTGCCTCCAAAAGTTGTGGGTGCTCCAACACTAGAAGTTTTTAAGAAGAGATTGGACAACCATTTGTCTGAAATGGTGTGGGGTTTCCTGCCTGAGCAGGGGGTTGGACTAGATGACCTCCAAGGTCCCTTCCAATTCTGTTATTCTACTCTACTCTACTCTACTCTACTCTACTCTGTTCTATTTCGTGGAAACATTTGTCTGTCCCTTGTCATTGATCAGTTTACACAAGAGAGAGGTTAATAAGGTGCAAGAATTGTGGTCTCATGCTGGCTGACACTGCCCTTGGATATCTCTTGCCAATTGGTTTGGAGGCACACTTGGGTGAAATAGTTATGTTCAGAAAGTCTCTTCTTTCTTTTTATTTTTCTTTCTTTCTTTCTTTCTTTCTTCTTTCCCTTCCTTCCTTCCTTCCTTCCTTCCTTCCTTTCTTTCTTTCTTTCTTTCTTTCTTTCTTTCTTTCTTTCTTTCTCTCCCTTCCTTCCTTCCTTCCTTCCTTCCTTCCTTCTTTCCTCCTACCTACCTACTTACCTACCTACCTACCTTCCATCAAGCATGAAACTTTGGCAGCTATGTGCCTCTGCGTTTCAACTTGCCTTTAGATAAAGGGGGAGGGAGGTGTTACTCTCAGTGGGTAGATGGAGAAACAAAACTTCTTCAATTCAGCTACAGACTGTGGGAGCCTGAAGCCTTGCCAAGGACACCAGAACAGGTGTGGATTTGAAGCAGACGGTTCCCATAAGAAAGTGGACTTGTTGATGTGGATTGCGCAAGACGTTGGGGGTTTGGTTGAGAAAATTATTGTTTAAGTCTATGAATTGGTGTAGGAATCTCGAAGTTAGTTTTACTTTGACATAACCATGCAGTGTATTCAACAAACTGTAAGATTTTTGGAAAAGGAATTAATCTAGAATTTTATTTGGATTCTTGAGCTGGATATTGACACCTTCCTTCCTTCCTTCCTTCTTCCCTCCCTCCCCCTCCCTCCCATCAACCCTCCCCTTCCCTTCTCAGCTTTTCAGGGAAGTCATGAGCATCCTGGACCCAGAGATGCTTCCTACTGGCCAAGAACGTGATGCCAACCTTGATGGAGAACCCTGTCCTCTGTCTACAACGCCATCCCTCTTGGAAAACAAAAGAAACAGGCAAACGAGGGCCAGACAGGTCAGCTGGTGAGTGCCAGGCCACAGATAGTACCCAGGCATCATAAACCACGATTGTCTACTTCCCAGGCCATTATCCGCCATGATTAAGAATCACAAGGGCTTCATTTCCATAATATGCAAGCCGTAACCAAGAAGCCCATGGGATGTCCCACCTCCCACCCCCCACTCCCGCTAAAAGATGCGTCTCCTGGGAACTTTTCCACTCGAGATATAGGTAGTCCTCTGCTTACAACCACAATGGAGCCCAACCTTTCTATTGCTAAGCTAAACAGTTGTTAAGTGAGTTTTGCTTCACTTTACGACCTTTCTTGCCACTGCAGCTGTTAAGTTACTTACACGGTTGTAAAGTGAATCCGGCTTCCCTCATCGACTTTGCTTGTCAAAAGGTGGGAAAACGGGATCGCAGGACCATTGCCGGGACACGGCAACCGTCATAAATATGAGTCAATTGGCAAGCGTCTGAATTTTGATCACTTGACCCTGGGGATGCTGCAAGGGTCGTAAGTGTGAAAAACAGTTGTAAGTCACTTTTCTCAGCACTGTTGCAACTTTGAATTGTCACTAAACAAACCGTTGTAAATCGAGGACTCTCTGCACTTTCTTGCAAGGGAGAATATTTTCACCCAGGGGCAGAACGGCTCAGCCACCCTCTCTAATTGCCCTTTTTGGAAGGTTTTCGCCATCGTTTTATATTATATTAATTATTATTATTATATTATATACTAAATAATAATAATAAAAATAATAGAGTTGGAAGGGACCTTGGAGGTCATCTAGTCTAACCCCCTGCTCAGGCAGAAAACCTTATACCATTTCAGACAAATGTCTGTCCAGTCTCTTCTTAAAAACTTCCAGTGTTGGAGCATTCACAGCTTCTGGAGGCAGGTAGTTCCACTGGTTAATTATTCTAACAATCAGGACATTTCTCCTTAGTTCTAGGTTGCTTCTCTCCTTGATGAGTTTCCATCCATTGCTTCTTGTCCTGCCTTCAGGCGCTTTGGAGAATAGCTTGACTCCCTTTTCTTTGGGGCAGGCCCTGAGATACTGGAAGACTGCTATCATATCCCCCCTCGTCCTTCTCTTCATTAAACTGGACATACCCAATTCCAGCAACCGTTCCTTGTATGTTTTTAGCCTCCAGTCCCCTCATCATCTTTGTTGCTTTTCTCTGTACTCTTTCTAGAGTCTCAGCATCTTTTTTACATCGTGGTGACCATGTGTGGCCTTACCAAGGCATTGTAAAGTGGTATTAACACCATGTGATCTTGATTCTGTCCCTCTGTTACGTAAGGTCCATCTTTAGCTTGCATTCCTCTGGCTTTCTTATGTGGTTTGGCCTGAGTAGATGGAGGAGGGATTTTTTTGGGGGTGGAAGGTTTCTCACAATGAGGACCAGAACTTCACTTGCTAAGCAGGGCAGTTAAGTGAGCCATATCTAACCGTATGACCTTTTTGCCATGGTCATTAAACAAATCACTGCAGCTGTTAAGTGAATCCAGCTTCCCTCCTCGACTTGGCTTGTTGGAAGCGGCTGGGAAGGTCACAAATGGAGGTCACATGACCTTGGGATGCTGCAATGCTTGTAAGTGTGAAAAAAAATTTCAGTGCCGTTGCAACTGAATAAATAATATCATAAATAAATGCTGGTTACCCAAGTGCCCAAATTTTGGCCACAGGAACTCCACAACAGTTGTCAATGTGAGGGCTGGTGGCAATTCACTTGTTCCAATGCCATACTGTGACTAAAGAAACGGTCGTAAGTCGAGGACTCCCTGTGCTATGTGGGACATATAATTTACTCTTCCACACACAGGCTTCTGCTTGGCTCCTGGGCGCCATCTTGTGGTGTTAGGTTGCTCAACAGTTTTCAGAGCCTTCTAGAATCTTTGAGGAACATAATCTCCACTTCCCCAAATGTCTGGTTTCTTTCTTACTATTCATTCAAACTAAACAAATCAGGAGAGCTAAACAAGGTTAAGACCTAGTTTGGTTTCGGACAGGAAACTAGAAATGTAGGTTAGACTGGAAGCTCAACATAATATCAAGAAAAAGTCGCCAATAAGACTCTTTTTTTACTGTTGGCAAAGGAACACTTAAAATGTATTTCTTTATTTCATTTATCAAGCAAATATATAACAGAGTGGGAGTGTGTGGAGTAAGAGTGGTATACAGATAGTCCTCAGCTTATGACTGCAACTGAGCCCAAAGTTTTTGTTGCTAAGCAAAGTCAATGGGAAAACCAGATTCATTAACTTAACAACTGCAGTGATAACTTAACAACTGTGGCAAGAAAGTTTGTAAAATGGGGCAAACAGCTGTCTTGCTTAGCAACAGAAATTTTGGACTCAGTTGTGGTCGTAGGTCAAAGACCATTGTACATAAAAATTTAGTCAACTAAAAGTTATCACTAAATTGGCGCTAGATAAGTGTTAATGGACTTCAAGAAGGTTGAACCTGGACCATTGTGGGAACGTAACAATTCTAGGCTGATTCCTTTCTTAACCCCACCCCTGTGCTCTAGCTGTCCTTCGCCTGCAGTCATGGCTATCATCTCCCCATGGAAATCTCTGGTTAATGTACTTAGGAAAAGTAACTGGCAGATAAATATTCGGTGATATTAATTAGTCCCAGCAGAGTGGAGATCATAAAGCTGCAGTTCAGGGCTTAGTTGATGGGAAGAACAGCTCATTAAACATCATAGGATTTGCTGCTCGATCAATACGGATATGCAAATGTCTCTTACAGCAAGGACGCAGAAAACAAGGCTCCTTACACCTGGTTCTCCCCCACAAAAGTGGCAGCAAGAGAACTGAAGGCCAGGTTGAATTACGTCCCTCCCCTCGACGAGAATATCAAGAGAGCCACCAAAGAACTTTGTGACGGATTCAGTGCTCTAGTAAGTCAAACAGTTTCTACGGCGGTGTTTCTCAAGTGTGGCCCCTTTAAGGCATGTGGACTTCAGTTCCCAGTATTCCCCAAACGTCATGGCTGGCTGGGGAATTCTGGGAGTTGAAGTCCACATGCCTTAAAGGGGCCAAGCTGGAGAAAATTTGCATGGAATGTTCTTTCCCAGGCCAGATTCTTCTGCTCCAAAGAAACCACCCAATGGAATTGGACTTCAAGAACTATAATCAAAAGCTAGCATCTATGAGGTTATGGGAGTTGTAGTCCAACATATTCCAGACCACAGTGCTGGAAAAAGGGCTGTTGGACTGGCCTTTATCTCTTCTCCTATCCTATTGCAGTGATTTGTTCCAGGAGCTCCTGTCCATTTCTTATCTATTTCAGATCAGATATTTATATCTACAGTAATTCCAGGAAAAAAATATTTTCCCCTTTGCAGATTAAGAAAAGAGGTATTGGCTTTGTGACTTCATGTGTTAACAGTCAGCTAGACCCAAATAATTACTTAAATCTTCAGCAGTACCTAGCTATATTTTTATAGCTGTATGTCTGGCAGATTTATATAAAATCTGAAGTATTTTGTAGTTTTGGAAACCAAAATGGATTCCTACCTGCTTTTTAAAAAGCAGCCTATTTCGTTTACCATTTTACTTTACAGATAAATACATACAGGTAGTCCTTGACTTGCAACCATTCATTTAGTGACTGAAGTTACAAGGCCACTGAAAAAAGTGGCTTATGACCATTTTTCACCCTTACGAACATTGCAGCATCTCCAATGGTCACGTGATCAAAATTCAAATACTTGGGAACGGACTCGTATTTGTGACGGTTGGCAGTGTCCCACGATCACCTGATCCCCTTTTGCGATTATCTGAGAAGCCAAGTCAATGGGGAAGCCAGATTCACTTAACAGCTGTGTTATTAACTTAACAACTGCAGTGATTTACTTAACAATTGTGACAAGCAAAGTTGTAAAATGGGGCAAAGCTCACTTAACAACTGTCTCGCTTAGCGATGGAAATTTTTGGCTCAGTTATGGTTGTAAGTGAAAAAAAAATCAAGAACAAAATAGATCTTTTGCTGGATTAAAAAAGATGTGATAGTTTGACACTTGTGCTCAATTTGAGTTCGTCTTTTAGGGCGGAGAGAAGTACAACATAGATGAAGACACAGTCCTAAGTATGTTTGATGCGGGTTACGAGACCACCGTCCCGATGTTTCATCCGCTTCGTGTTGAGGAACTCCGTGATCTACCAATGGATCTAAAGAAGCACCTTGGGATGCTACCTTCTCGGGCTATTAGAAAGAAACTTGATCAGGAAATGGAATCTTCCAAGGTGGGTGGCCTAGTCTAGCATGCAGATACACAGTGCTTTGATGAAGATTATTCATTAAACTTTGACTTAACAAATGTACAGTACATTTTGGGAAGAGTGCAGAGAAGAGCAGCTAAGATGATCAAGGGCCTGGAGACAAAAACATATGAAGAAGAGTTGCAGGATTTGGGTTTAGCCAGTCTAGAGAAAAGAAGGACTAGAGGGGACATGACTATTCTAGTATTTGAGAGGCTGCCACAAAGAAGAGAGAGTCAAATTATTTTCCAAAGCACCAGAAGGGAGGACAAGAAACGATGGATGGAAATTAATCACGGAGAGGTGCAAACTGGAAATAAGGAGAAACTTCCTAACAGCGACAACAATTAACCAAGTGGAACAGCTTGCCTCCAGAAGTTGTGGGTGCTCCGTCACTGGAGGTTTTTAAGAAGAGACTGGGCAACCATCTATCTGAAATGTATAGGGTCTCCTGCTTGAGCAGGGGGTTGGACTAGAAGACCTCCAAGGTCCCTTCTGGCTCTATTCTGATTGATTGACTTTTACTTGGGAGAACTGAAGACATTTAGCTTGCAAAGAAGAAAAAGAGAGGCTTCATATAGGTCAGGGGTAGGCAACCTTGGCTCTTTTATGATTCATGGACTTCAACTCCCAGAATTCCTGAGCCAGCATTGCTCAGCTTGGAAACCTCCCCCTTTCCCCTCAGCATGGCTGGCTCAGGAATTCTGGGAGTTGAAGTCCGTGAGTCATAAAAGAGCCAAGGTTGCTGTTATGTCCCGAGCCTTTGCAAACGGCTCGGGCGTTTGCAGGCAGTCCCGGGCAGGTGCAAAGCTGCCCGGGACCAGACAGGCTGTCGCCAGCGCCGTGCGCATGCGCGGGTGCTGGCGCAGGAAAAGTAACCCATTTACCCGGGAGTTGCCTATATAAGAGGCTGTGAGGCGTTTGGGCGAGGCTGAAGCCATCTTCCTGTAAGCTGAACACTGAATAAATGAAACTGAGAACTCCAGCTGCTTCTCGTGTCTGTTTCCCCGCCACGGACTCAACACTGGCGACGAGGGTGGGATGCCTTGCACTACCTGGAAAGGAAGAAGTGTAAGCTTACCCAAGGAGTCCTGAGCGGCGAAAGAGGAACGGCGTCGACTCGGCAGCTGCCCGCCAATCCGGTGCGCATTCGGGGGTAGGCTGGCTGATAGACCCGTCTCCTGAAGATCCGAAGATGGCGAAAATCGGAAGGCTTTCGGAATTCGACGTCTCACATCCAGAGCGGTGGGAGTCCTACGTATCCAGAATGGAGAACTACTTCAAGGCAAACCAAGTGAGGGAAGATAGCTTGAAGGCGGCCACCCTGCTTTGCGTTTGCGGCCAAGACGCCTTCGAAATCGCAGAAAACCTTGCAGCACCTGTCCCAGTAGAGTCTGTAAGCTACGCAGACCTGAAGAAGCTGCTGAAGGAGCACTTCCACCCCAAGGTGTCCGTTATCTCATGGCGCCACACCTTCGAACAAAGGGATCAACGGTCCGGTGAGTCAGCCAAGGAATACATCGCCGCGTTACGGAAGGCCGCCAAGCCCTGCGAGTTCAAGGACCTCGAGGAACGACTGAGGGACCGATTCGTGTGCGGGTTAAGGCATCGCGAGCTACAACAGAGACTTTTCGCAAAGGAAGAATTATCCTTCCAAGACGCCTTAAGGGAAGTCACCGCAGAAGAAGCAGCAGGCGGCGCCGTCAAAAACATGCGGCCGATCAGAAACAGTGCAGAGGGTGCGTCCGTGCACCAGGAAGACGTCCGACGAAACTCCGAGGAGGATCCGGACGAGGAAGTCGACCGTCTACACCCCGCGAGGGAAGAGAACCAGAAGGGAAGCTCTTCGGCTCCGCTCAAGTGCATCGGCTGTGGAGGTCGCCACAGGAGAACCGACTGCAAGTTCCGCTCCGCTACCTGCCGGGCATGCGGTAAACAAGGGCACATTGCAGCTGTGTGCCTGGGCCGACGAAAGGCACAACCCCAAGAAGAACGCCTGAAGGGTACCAGATTCCCCAGCCAGAATAGGGTAGGTTTTTGCGCTTCGCGAAGAAGCATCTGTAGAACAGGCACACACAAGCCCATGAAGAAAAAGCTGTCACTCAACGTGAAGCTACAAGGGGTTCCATTATCTATGGAACTAGACACAGGGTCTGCCCTGTCCATCATTTCATTGCATACATTTAGGAAGATTTGTTCCAGAAGTGGGTCTAAGGCCAAGTTAAGGCCTTCTGATATTGTATTAACAGATTTTCAGAACTCAAGAGTGTGTGTTAAGGGGGAGGCCACCCTTAACGTGCAATACAAGAGTTTTGAAGGTCCACTAGACTTATTAGTAGTAGGGGGTGAACGAACGAGTCTCATAGGACTCGATTGGTTTGAGGCCCTGGGGATACACGTCACAGGACTCAACAGCTTACAAACACTCGACCTACAGGAAGTCTGCAAAGAATTTGCAGATGTTTTCAGCCCCCAGCTGGGCACATTCAAAGGACCACCTGTGTCCTTAAAGCTAGACCCCACTGTCACTCCCATTAGGATTAAAGCAAGAAGGGTCCCTTTTGCTTTAAAAAGTAAGATTGACACTGAACTAGACAAACTAATCCAACAGGGAATCCTAGAACCTGTTGATTCCAGCCCGTGGGAGACCCCCATTGTCACGCCTCTAAAGGCAAATGGGGACATTCGCATTTGTGCTGATTACAAATGCACACTCAATAAGGCATTGCAGCAACATGCCTATCCTGTTCCTGTGGTCAGTCACATCCTGGCCTCTCTCAAGGGGGGGCGTGTTTTTGCAAAGCTTGACCTAGCTCAAGCATATCAACAGCTGCCTGTTGATGATGATGCTGCCATAGCTCAGACCATTGTGACCCACAGGGGAGCCTTTAAAGTAAAAAGGCTACAGTTTGGAGTGAATGTCGCTCCTGGGATTTTCCAAAGCGTAATGGAAAACACACTACGAGGTATACCAGGGGTCTGCCCCTACTTTGACGATGTCTTGATTGCAGGAGACTCCACACACATTCTAGCTGAAAGGCTTAGGGCTGTCCTGTTAAGATTCAGGAAATCAGGCCTCAAGCTCAGAAAAGACAAATGCCAGATTGGGGTGCCTTCTACTGAATTTCTGGGATTCAAAATTGATGCTGCTGGGATTCATCCTGCTGAATCCAAACTAACTGCTATTTTAGATGCACCCAGGCCAAAGTCTAAGGCCGAACTTCAGGCCTTCCTAGGCCTCCTGAATTTCTACAATTCTTTTCTTCCACATAAAGCTAGTGTAGCTGAGCCTCTTCACAGGCTACTAGACAAACAGGCTGTGTGGCTGTGGTCACAAGCGCATGAGGCTTGCTTTAAAGAAGTCAAGGCCTTGCTCACTTCTAACAGTGTTCTTGCACATTTCAACGAGTCTCTCCCTGTGTGCATCGCTTGTGATGCGTCCCCCTACGGGGTTGGAGCTGTCCTGAGTCACCTCAGGTCTGATGGAACTCAGGTTCCTATTGCATACTACTCCAGAACACTGTCTTCTGCCGAGCGCAACTACGCTCAGATAGACAGGGAGGCTCTGGCTGTTGTTGCTGGAATTAAAAAATTCCACGATTTTCTATATGGCAGGCATTTCACGGTCTTCACTGACCATAAGCCTCTGCTGGGACTGTTTACCACACGTAAGCAGACTCCCCACATCATTTCCCCTAGAATGCTTAGGTGGTCTATTTTCTTGTCTGCATATGATTTTTCATTACTCCACAAGCCTGGGAAAGAAATGGGCCATGCTGATGGCCTCAGTAGATTGCCTCTGCCAGTAGTAGAAGCTGACCCCGCGCCAGCTGTCAACATTCTATCAATCCAAGCCTTGCCCGAGCTCCCTCTTAGTGCCAGGGATGTTACCGCTGAAACAGGTACAGATCACACACTTTCACGTGTCCGCTCCTGGGTCCTGTCCGGGTGGCCTGAGCACTGCCCTAGTCCTGAGTTTCAGAGTTTCTGGTCCAAAAGAAACGAACTGTCCCTTTCTCAGGGTTGTCTGCTTTGGGGAAACAGAGTTGTCATTCCCACCTCAATGAGGACTAGGGTCTTAGAATCCCTCCACGAGGGTCATCCTGGCATTGTTCGTATGAAGGCTCTTGCACGCAGCCACTTGTGGTGGCCTGCTTTAGATAAAGATATTGAGGCTAAGGTACACGCATGCCACCTGTGCCAACGATCTCGCCCAGAGATGCCCCAAGCTCCTGTGCATAGATGGGAGGAAACACAGTCCCCATGGTCTAGGGTGCACATTGACTACGCTGGGCCCTTTCAGGGCCAGTTCTTCTTGGTCCTTGTTGACAGCCATTCAAAATGGCTTGAGGTTGTGCCTGTCTCATCCACCACCACTGCAAAGACTATTCAGGTACTGAGGGGGATTTTTGCTGCACACGGGCTGCCAGATGTCATTGTGTCCGACAACGGCCCTCAATTCACCTCCTCCGAATTCCAAGCTTTCTTACAGGCAAACCTGATTCGTCATGCCACGTCTGCGCCTTTTCACCCGTCCACCAACGGTATGGCTGAACGCATGGTGCGCATCGCAAAGGACGCCTTGAAGAGACTCACCTACGGGGACTGGCATCACAGGTTGGCTGACTTTCTCCTTTCTTATCGCACCACACCGTCCACTTCTACAGGGAGAAGTCCAGCTGAACTTCGTTGGGGGCGCCAACTTACTACTAGACTTGACCGGTTGCATCCGGACAGACTGCCTTCATCTACCTCACATCCTAGGGCACCTAGACAACTACTTGTGGGTGCCCCGGTTTGGGCTCGCAATTACGGGCCTGGTCATACATGGGTCCCCGCTTCTGTGTCCAGGATCACAGGTCCTCTCTCCTACGAGGTTGCCCTGGACAACGGTCGTGTCCTGCGTCGGCACATCGACCAACTTCGCTCTAGGCGAGACTTTTCTGCTGAGACTCCTGGGTCTTTTCCAGGGGGGGAGGGGGACCCTTTGGAGCAAAGGGAAGGGCAAGAGCTACTGCCCATCTCCACTGAGGGAGCCACAAACGGCTCGTCCCAAGGTTCTGCAATTGCTCCGAAAAGAAAGTCATGGAGCTTACCCACACAACAGGCACTCACGCCTACTCCAGCCAGGGAGTCACCCCGGGGGCATACTCACTTTCCACACACATCACACAGCACTCCAGCAACGGAGGATACCCGGGGGCATCCCAACAAATCATTCCCCGCAAGAGAACTGGCACACAATTCCCAAGGTTGGCCTGACCTTACCCCAAATCCTACAGGGGGTCAAACATACACAGAGTTAGTCGAGGAACCAAGTCCCGACTACAACAACCCTAGCACAAATCAGGGAACACCTGAGTTTTGGGAAAGTACAGAAACCCACACGAGCCCGAACACAGAATGGGGTTCAGGGAATGGACAGCCTCCTGACAGGTCTTGGACTGACCTAGGAGGTTCTACAGAGACGCCCAGCAGCGGCTATCACTTCAAGGGGCCTGAGGGTCTACAGCTAGGTAGGTCAACCAGGTCACAAAGTAACAGAAGCCCTGGCCTGACGAGCCCGGTGGGCAAGCAAGCAGGCCAGGCATCGGGGCACAGTCCTTGGAAGACACCAGGGCACAATAGAGAGAACAGGCTCACGCCTCCCTCCAGTCAGGGGACTTATGCCAGTAACCCAGAGCTAAGAAGGTCACAGAGAGCAAAGAAATCTCCTAAGTATCTAGAAGATTACATAACATTGCTGGCAAGGCAAAAGCCAGTAATCAGTGGGAGCACTGGGGAGCAAAATGTCATATAAAATAAATGTTGTATGTTGGTAGTAGTTTTAGCCCGGGGGAAAGGGGTGTTATGTCCCGAGCCTTGCAAACGGCTCGGGCGTTTGCAGGCAGTCCCGGGCAGGTGCAAAGCTGCCCGGGACCAGACAGGCTGTCGCCAGCGCCGTGCGCATGCGCGGGTGCTGGCGCGGGAAAAGTAACCCATTTACCCGGGAGTTGCCTATATAAGAGGCTGCGAGGCGTTTGGGCGAGGCTGAAGCCATCTTCCTGTAAGCTGAACACTGAATAAATGAAACTGAGAACTCCAGCTGCTTCTCGTGTCTGTTTCCCCGCCACGGACTCAACAGTTGCCTACCTCTAGCCTAGGCCTAGGCCACTTTATGACTCATGGACTTCAACTCCCAGAATTCCTGAGCCAGCATAGCTCAGCTTGGAAACCTCTCCCTTTCTCCTCAGCATGGCTGGCTCAGGAATTCTGGGAATTGAAGTCCACGAGTCATAAAAGCGCCAAGGTTGCCTACCTCTGGCCTAGGCCGCTTTCTGACTTGTGGACTTCAACTCCCAGAATTCCTGAGCCAACATGGCTCAGTTTGGAAACCTCTCCCTTTCCCCTCAGCATGACTGGCTCAGGAATTCTGGGAGTTGAAGTCCGTGAGTCATAAAAGAGCCAAGGTTGCCTACCTCTGGCCTAGGCCTAGGCCACTTTATGACTCGTGGACTTCAACTCCCAGAATTCCTGAACCAGCATGGCTCAACTTGAAAACTCTCCCTTTCCCCCCAGCATGGCTGGCTCAGGAATTCTGGGAGTTGAAGTCCACGAGTCATAAAAGACCCAAGGTTGCCTACCCCTGATATAGGTAGTTCTTGACTTACAACCGGTATGTTATGATGTTCCTTCCTAGAGCTACTTATGACCCAGTTTCAAAGTTCCAAAGGCCGGGGCCAGTCTACAGTCATGTGATCCCATTTTGGGTGCTTGGCAACTGTCTCACATTTATGACCTTTTGCAGTTGACCAAGACTTATGATGTTTCTTTGCTGGAGACCAATATTTATTTCTAGCCAAAAAGACCCATTGGATACAATGGACTCATTTAACAACCGTGGTGTTTGCTTAGCACCGCTGCAAAAAAAGATTATAAAATAGGTTGCGGTCATGTGATGACCCGCTTAACCATCAGAACATCTTGTGACTGTAATTCCAGGCTCAATTACATTTGTAAGTCAAGGACTAGCTGTATTTTTCTATATATTCATATCCATCTACAATTGCTCTTTCCTATGTGATGGGACAGATACTCACTGGGAGTCTGGGGAAAGGCCACTGATGCAAACTAGAGTCAAGCAGATTCCCTACAGTCTTTCAGTGCTGCTACTTTCTGTTGTTTGGGGAGCTAGTGTCAGGCATAAAGGATCAGGACCATCCATTAAATTGCAGCACCGAACATTTATTTAGGCCCATACACAAGAATCTGGTCAACTGAAGTTCAAGATTAAATTGGAGCCAGATAAGAGTCAACAGAATTCAGGAGAGGCTGGATTCCAACCCTTTGTGACAACGTAATGACCCCAAGCTAATGATGTGCTTAACTCTCCCCCCCCCCCCAGCTCTTCCTGCTCGTCTCCTACAGTTGGTGGTTGAATCTTCAGCTCCTGTGTTTGCTACCAGCAGGAAGGGAGACGGAATAGAATAGGTCAACTCCTAACTTTTGAGCACATGAAAATGACGTTTCTTCCCTCTTTCTCTTCTCCCAGGACCCTTACCAATCCAGATGGAAGAAGATCAGATATGGGGCTTGGTATCTGGACCCCAAGACATGGAAAAAACAGGATGTGAATGAACCTTTAGAAAACTCCAAAGAGAGCAGCATCAAGAATTCCAGAAGGTTCTTAAGGGAAGAGGTATGTTACAAATTCCTGTTGGAAGGAAGAAGGGAGGGAGGCAGGGAGGGAGGGAGAGGGGAAAGGAGGGGAAAGGTGAGGAAAGGAGGGGGGAAGGGGAGAAGAGAAAAGGAAGAAGGGAAGGAAAGAAAGAAGCGAGAGGAAGGAAGGAAGGAAGGAAGGAAGGGAGGGAGGGAGGGAGGAAAGGCGGGGAAAGGAGAGGTGAGGAGAGGAGGGAAGGGAAGGGGAGAAGAGAAAAGGAAGAAGGGAAGGAAAGAAAGAAGCGAGAGGAAGGAAGGAAGGAAGGAAGGAAGGAAGGAAGGAAGGAAGGAAGGAGGAAGGGAGGAAAGGAGGGGAAAGGAGAGGTGAGGAGAAGAGGGAAGTGAAGGGGAGAAGGGAAAAGGAAGGAAAGAAAAAAGCAAGAGGAAGGAAGGAAGGAAGGGAAGGAAGGAAGGAAGGAAGGAAGGAAGGAAGGAAGGAAGGGAAGGAGGGAGGGAGAGGGAAAAGGAGGGGAAAGGAGAGGTGAGGAGAGGAGGGAAGGGGAGAAGAGAAAAGGAAGAAGGGAAAGAAAGAAAGAAGTGAGAGGAAGGAAGGAAGGAAGAAAGAAAGAAAGAAAGGAAGGAAGGAAGGAAGGAAGGAAGGAAGGAAGGAAGGAAGGAAGGGGAAGAGAAGGGAGAGAGGGAGTCTTATTTTAATTTCTGGATAATTTCTGCAGGATGCCGAGCTCATACAACTTCATGGAACTCATGCTTTCCGGGAATTTCTTGTAGAAAAAGGTTATCGGATACCAGAGGTAAACTTTAAATACCTCCCACTCACCTAGCAATTCTGTTGCTCTCCAGATGTTTCAGCATCTCTTTTATAATGGGCTGTAGCCAGCACAGTCAACGCTCCCAATACCCGGAGGGCTTCAAGTTGCCATTCTCTGCCGTCTAGTCTATATTCCGCCTTTTTGTTCAAACATGATTGCAAAACCAAAGGGGCTCCCTTTATAGCTACTGACCTGTACTGCTTCTCTTCCCTGCCTGGTTTTAGACCAGGGCAGCTTTCTGCTTCCCTATTCCTTGGCCCAAAGTCTTCAGCATCCCGACCCAGATGGCTCAGTGTGGAAAGCTATAGTCCAGGGCAGGGGTAGGCAACCTTGGCTCTTTTCTGACTCATGGACTTCAACGCCCAGAATTCCTAAGCCAGCATGGCTCAGCTTGGAAACCTCTCCCTTTCCCCTCAGCACGGCTGGCTCAGGAATTCTGGGCGTTGAAGTCCATGAGTCAGAAAAGAGCCAAGGTTGCCTACCTCTGGCCTAGGCCGATTTATGACTTGTGGACTTCAACTCCCAGAATTCCTAAGCCAGCATGGCTCAGCTTGGAAACCTCTCCCTTTCCCCTCAGCGTGGCTGGCTCAGGAATTCTGGGAGTTGAAGTCCACGAGCCAAGGTTGCCTACCCCTGCTATAGTCCATTGAACCAAGAAAGAAGCAGAATGGGGAAAAATGGGTAGGAAAGAATGTAGGCACAGATAGTCCTCAACTTACAACCGTTCATTTAGTGACTATTCAAAGTTACAATGGCACTGAAAAAAGTGGCTTACGACCATTTTTTCACATTTATGAACGACTGCAGCATCTCCAGGGTCACCTGATCAAAATTCAGATACTGGTCAACTGGTTCATATTTATAACGGTTGCAGCATCCTAGGGAGTCATGTGATGCCCTTTTGCAACCTTCTGACAAGCAAAGTCAAGCCAGATTCACTTAACACCTGCAGTGACTCACTTAACGACGGTGGCAAGAAAGGTCAGAAAATGGGGCAAAACTCACTTAACAGCTGTCTTGCTTAGCAACGGAAATGTTGGGCTCCGTTGTGGTCGTAAGTCGAGGGCTTGCCTGTATTGCAGCTTTTGAACAAGGCTCTGGAGTTCTTCCCTGCTATAATTGTAAATTATTATTTACAATTAATAATTGTAAATTAAGATTGTCAAATAATAGCTTTTATTTCTGATAAGTCGCTTTCTCAAAATGCCGAGAAAGGCTCACTTTTAAAAAAAAAGATCTATTTTTATTTATTTATTTATTTTTGCACTTAACACTGTGTTCTTTCTTCAAGGGGATGAAACTGTGTCCATGTCTCTAAAATTATTTTGCCTTTGTGTCCTAGCAAGTTGTGTAGGCTTTTTGATAGGGCCAGCAGGTCTGCTGGAGATGACGTAATTGCAACGGAAGAGATTCTGCTTGAAAAAAACATCACCTTATCAAGCAGGGGATAACCCGAATTTTAGTTTATATTCCAGGAATCTGTTGGGGATCCTGCAGCTGCTTGATAGCCTCATGTTTCCTTCAATAAGATCAGATTTCTAAAGTCTTTGGGTCAACAAAAGTTGGAGCGCCGTAACCTGTTCCTTGGAACAAGCCGGTGAAATTGTGTGTTTGGGTTCAGTTTTTGCAGCGGGTGCTGGAGGAACCGAATGGGCTTCCACCCAAAGTGGGGGCTTTGAAGAACACCAAGGAGGAACCCCAGAGGTGCAAAGACTTCCAAGAAGATTATTCATGAATGATGGGAATCTAACACAAAGAATCCAGGGACCAAGAGAATGGAAGCTGACGATAGCTCTATCCGTGATGTTATTTGAGCAGGAATTCTGAGGACGTGTACCTGAACGAAATTTTCTGAGCAATACCTGGGGAGGGTTCCCTACAAAATCCTTTGCCTCTTTTTTTTTTTACAGCTGGTCAAAAATCAGAATAAACAACGTAGTTGGAACCAAGAAACCTGCTGGGTACGCCTAGAAAAACCCAAGAGTCACCCAACAAGGGTTGGAAGGTTTCTTATTGCTGTCTCTAACCATAACATACACACAACTGATTAGATGTGTCCCTATTGATTTCTAAAGAAAAGAAATAGGGGAGAGACGATAGCAGTCTTCCAGTATCTGAGGGGCTGCCACAAGGCAGAGGGGGTCAGGTTGTTCACCAGAGTACCAGAGGGAAGGACGAGAAACAATGGTTGGAAGCTGATCAAAGAGAGAAGCAACCTGGAATTAAGGAGAAACTTCCTGACAGTGAAGACAATCAACTAATGGAACAGCTTGCTACCAGAAATCGTGAGCGCTCCATCACTGGAAGTTTTTAAAAAGAGACTGGACAATCACTTGTCTGAGATGGTATAGGTCAGGGTAGGCAACCTTGACTCTTTTATGACTCGTGGACTTCAACTCCCAGAATTCCTGAGCCAGCATGGCTCAGCTTGGAACCTCTCCCTTTCCCCTCAGCATGGCTGGCTCAGGAATTCTGGGAGTTGAAGTCCATGAGTCATAAAAGAGCCAAGGTTGCCTACCCCTGGTATATGTCTTCCTGCTTGAGCAGGGGGCTGGACTAGAAGACCTCCAAGGTACCTTCCAGCTCTATTCTATTCTATTCTATTCTATTCTATTCTATTCTATTCTATTCTAATTCTAATTCTTTCTTCTATTCTATTGTATTCTATTCTATTGTATTCTATTCTATTGTATTCTATTCTATTGTATTCTATTCTATTCTATTCTATTCTATTCGAGTTGGCAGGACATTCTGGGATCCTAAATCTTGCTGTTCCCCTTGCAGTATGTCCTTATTGTGCACCAGAAATGGGTTTGTGCTGCATTGCTGTCCACGCTTCGACATACAATGTTCCAAATGTTGTGATGGTTGGTTCCCTCTAATAAAATTCTGCCCCTAATGTCACCTGCTATGTGATGCATCCTCCTGACAACCAAAATAAATTGGTAGGGTGGGAGAACAAATGAACAAACATAGAGAAGAGTGGCTTCCACCAGAAGACCAGGAGAACCAATTGGGGCTATAGATTTACCACTATGGAAGGTATTATTTCAGACAGATTCCTCCCTTCACGCCCATCTTACATAGTCTGCGTTGGCATCTTTAGCCAGAGTTAAAAAGGGGAAGCATTTTGGGGCCACAGGTCACAAAGGGCACCCAGCTTATCAGGATCAACTCCAAAATAGTTTGATGTAGCACTGGCCTTTGAAGTGGAATATTTATTTAATTTCCTGCTTTTATTATTTTATACACACACACACACACACACACACACACACACACACACAAACTCAAGGTAACAAACATATCTAATAATTACTTTTCTTCCTATTTAGCCCAAAACAACAAACTGTGAAGTGAGTTGTGCTGAGAGAGATGGATTGGCCCAAAGTCATCCAGCTGCATTTCATGCCTGGGGTGGGACTAGAACTCACAATCTCCTGGTGATTGGCCAAAAGACCTCTAGCTGCCTTTTATGGCTGAGGTGAGACTAGAACTCACAGTCTCCTAGCAATTGCCCAAAGAGACCCAGCTGCCTTTCATGGCTGAGGTGGGACTAGAACTCACAATCTCCTAGAGATTGGCCCAAAGACACCCAGCTGCCTTTCATGGCTGAGGTGGGACTAGAACTCACAATCTCCTAGAGATTGGCCCAGAGACACCCAGCTGCCTTTCATGGCTGAGGTGGGACTAGAACTCACAATCTCCTAGAGGTTGTCCCAAAGACACCCAGCTGCCTTTCATGGCTGAGGTGGGACTAGAACTCACAATCTCTTGGCGATTGGCCCAAAGACACCCAGCTGCCTTTCATGGCTGAGGTGGGACTAGAACTCACAGTCTCCTGGTGATGGGCTCAAAATCATCCAGCTGGCTTTCATGTCTAAGACAGAGCTAGAACTCCCCCTTTCCTGGTGATTGGCCCTAAGTTATCCAGCTGGTTTTCACGCCTAAGGTGAGACTAGAACTCACTGTCTCCCGTTTTCTAGCCTGCTGCCTTAACCACTAGACCCAGGGTAGGCAGCCTTGGCTCTTTTATGACTCGTGGACTTCAACTCCCAGAATTCCTGAGCCAGCCATGCTGAGGAGAAAGGGAGGGGTTTCCAAGCTGAGCCATGCTGGCTCAGGAATTCTGGGAGTTGAAGTCCATGAGTCATAAAGCAGTCTAGGCCTAGGCCAGAGATAGGTAACGTTGGCTCTTTTATGACTTGTGGACGTCAACTCCCAGAATTCCTGAGCCAGGCATGCTGAGGGGAAAGGGAGAGATTTCCAAGCTGACCCATAAAAGATGTTATGTTCCTTTAAGAATATGTCCATGATAATAGAATAATTCTATCTAGTACAGGGGTAGGCAGCCTTGGCTCTTTTATGACTCGTGGACTTCAACTCCCAGAATTCCTGAGCCAGCTATGGAATTCTGGGAGTTGAAGTCCACGAGTCCTAAAAGGGCCAAGGTTGCCTACCCCTGCACTAGACCGAGCAGATTCTTTCTGCCACTTTGATAGCAGTTAGACATCTAATCCACTTTAACTCATAAAGCTGAATTCCAATGAAACGACGGTCGCTCTAATGAAATATTATTTTATTGATGGCAAGCGTGAATGAAAAGGGTAGTATAGAATGCAGATAAGAAGACAAAAGCAAGAGTTGTTTAGACTGGAAGAAGCATATGGGAGAAATCGAGGGAAAGCATTCTGCTGAGGCAGATGAAGAGATGGACAATTTTTAAACATTTTAATTTTTTTAAACCTTCTTTTCAGCATTAAGAGCAACGTGAAGATGTCTACACCAAAGATTTGGAAAGGTTTCTCTCTTCACCCAAGGGAATCAAGTTTCCAAGAGAGAGATCTAAGATGTCTCTGGAAACTCTCAGCATCTGGGACAAACTACAATTCCCAGGATCCTTTGGGAGAATAGAATGTTCATTTGAGCTTTTCCTTTCCCTTCTTAATTGTTGCGGCTTTTTAATCCATGGATCAATGCAGATACCCCAAATGGCAGCGAGAAAGATAGGAAAGGGGATCCTTGCATATCTGAAACTTTGGATATCCCCCCCCCCCGCCCAATGAGCTGTGAAAGCTGTCATTGGTATAAGGTCAACCTACATATCTGTGGTGTAGACATGCTCATAACTCTCAACAAAACACCCCAGTTGTGGTCTACTCTGGATAGCAGGACTCAGGGGTTAGGGCTGTCTGAATAACCTTAGTTTCCCCGTTGTTGGAGAACAAGGCAGAAACCGTGTAGCACTTATTCCGGTCGTAGGTGTAACAGGGTTCCTCGAAATTACCACATAACGTGCTTGAGCCAAACGTCACCCCCTTTTCAGTTTTGGGGTGGTCATCACATTTCTCACAACTGGAAAAGAAGACGGGAGGAGAAACATTAAGCCAAGTCACTGAAAAAATATTCCAGACATATCAATCTAGCTTCTTATTATAGCTGAAACGGCTATACCAGGGGTAGGCAACCTTGGCTCTTTTTTGACTCGTGGACTTCAACTCCCAGAATTCCTGAGCCAGCCATGCTGAGGGGAAAGGGAGAGGTTTCCAAGCTGAGGCATGCTGGCTCTGGAATTCTGGGAGTTGAAGTCTATGAGTCATAAAAGAGCCAAGGTTGCCTACCCTGGGCTATACGGCTAGAATTCCACTTGCTTAGCAGCTGCAGCTCCTGCCTTTCCTCAGAGGAAAGCTTAAATGAGAGTGGACAGGTAGTCCTCGACTTACGACAGTTGAGCCCAACATTTCTGTTGCTAAAGCAAAACAGTTAGGTGAGTTTGGCCCCATTTTATGACCTTTTCTTGCTACAGTTGTTAAGTGAATCCCTGCAGTTGTTAAGTGAGTCAGACAGTTCAGTGAATCTGATTTTCTCGTGGACTTTTCTTGTCAGAAGGTCGCAAAAGGCGACCATCACATGACTCCAGTACACTGGAACCATCATACACATGAGTCAGTTGACAAACGTCCCAAATTTTATTCACATGACCGTGGGGATGCTGCAATGGACGTAAGTGTGAGAAATGGTCATAAGCCACTTTTTTTTCCAGTACCTTTGTAACCTCCAACGGTCACTAAGCCAACAGTTGTAAGTCAAGGATTACCTGTGTTAGCTTCTGATTGGTCAGAAAAGAATTATTCCTGGCAGTGGTTTGTTCTCCAAGCTTGTTTCAATATCATTTCTGAACGTTTCGTTACCAAACTAGCTAACGTCATCAGCAGGGATTTTCACAAGACACGTATAAGCTAAGGATAATAGGACAGTAAAATCCTGCTGATGACGTTAGCTAGTTTGGTAACGAAACGTTCAGAAATGATATTGAAACAAGCTTGGAGAACAAACCACAGCCAACGTCAAGAACTCGAGCTACAAGTATTTTCTATTATTTCAAAGAATTATTCCTCCCAGCCCAGAGCCATCAAGGGGAAGAAGGGAACAGAAAAGAGATAAGAGGAGGATAAGAGTCCTTTCTCTATCCTAGCCTGCTCAGCTGCCTATTATCCAAGCTTTCTCAGGCTATAAATACCGTGTTTCCCCGAAAATAAGACCTTTTTTCTTTTTTCTTTTGCCTCCAAAAGAGGCACCAAGTCTTATTTTCGGAGTAGGCCTTACCTCACCTCTGGAACCGATAGCTCCACCCAGCTGGTCCACTTCTTCTGGGGCCGAAGTTCTGCAGCTGGATTCGGGCCTCCATTTTGCAGTTAGTTCTTTCTGGAAGGCCTATGCAGCCGACTACAAAGCTATGGATTCAATCCATAGCTTGGTTCTCGGCTGCAGAGGTCTTGCAGAAACAAGCTATGGATTGAATCCATAGCTCGGTTCTCGGCTGCAGAAGCCTTCCGGAAAGGCCTGTGACTGAGAAATGCAGGCCTGGCTGCAGAAGAGGCCTCAGAAGAAGAAGTGGGCCGGCAA